TATGAAAGACTTGCGCTAAGTTTGTGTCACTGACATCCTTGCTTCCCTTTTTTCCAGATTTCTCACATCATCAGAGAAATCAGACAGTTTCAACAAACAGCATATAAGATTGACTTGCAACCAAAGGTAAATTAATTAATCGCAAAGACCACAGATCAGTAGTTCCCAACCTCTCTGACAACTGACTACTTGAAGAAGCTATTTCTAATATACGAGCTGCAATCAAAAATTTCAGAGACTGGGCCTGTAGAAAGTAACAGTGGTACCTGAATTAAACCTGGGCAAAGGAAGCACTTGGCAACAGTGGAAACAAAAAACTCCCTTTTAACAGGAAGAAACTTCCAGCAGAACCAGGATCAGGGAGGGGCAGCCATCTGCTGTGATCAGTTGGGGTGAGAGGAGGGAGATAGAGATTAAATGCAGAGTGATGTATATACACACAGAGTGAAAGTAGTGTATTTTTAAGAACATTAAAAATACTGACAGAAAACTTCTTAAAGTACACAAAGCATAAATGTAGAAAAATTGCTCTTGGTCTCTCCTGACCTAATGTGTCGTTTTTGGGAATGAACTGAACTTATTTCAGAATAAGAATCAGAATACTTTATTAATCTCTGAGGAAATTATGTGGTCACAGTTGCTCCAAGACAGTAAGAACAGGAAATAACTAACTTAAATTTGATAATACAAACTTACAAATTATAACAGAATAAGTCTAGCTCTAAATATAAATATCTCAGTATATTACACAAATTAAATATATAGTTGACATTGAGGTGCCCTTTTTATCGTATTGACTTTGTAATTTTCTTTGTAGATGATGTGATATTAAGCGTGTGGAGAATGGAGGAATTGTACAGCGAGTTAGCCACAAGCAGGAATGAATTCCTGTGTTCTAAAATTGACATTTGGTCACAGCACGGATTTGAGTTTAATGATGAAGTCATTAATAAAAGTTGGATAAAGTGGGACAAAAAATAGCAGGAAGCAGTTTATCGCCATGCAAGGAGACACCATTGAATAGAGGTTAAAAAAAAATTAAATAAGGTGCATTTTTTTGCTTTCATATAGGCACTCTCTGAGCTTTTTGATTGCATCTTGTAAATGCAAAGGCTAAGTTCCTCTATATCTTTGCAAAGTATTTTTTAGAAAGAAACAGGTAAAGTCCTCCAATAACAGCAAAAACGTGGGATGTTAGTTTTTAATTTTCAAGGTGGAAATGCTTCAAAAAGATAAGTTATGAATGCTTGGGACCCTTTTAGATATATTGCATAGCACTGTTTTGCCCAAATAGTGATTAATGTTTTGTGTTCTTGTTTGTATTATATTATTCAAATAAATCAAAATCAGGCCAAAGTAACTCATTAGTTCACATAATCAAAATTTACAGTACCGGTATAAACATAATGATACTGATACTGAGGGTTGCAACTAGTAACTTGCTTCTGTTTAGTATTGTTTAAACTGTGAAAATAGTAAATATAATCAAATAAAAAAAGTCTTTTCCCCCCCGATATTCTAGGTAGCCCAGTATCTGCTGGACAAAAGCTTTGTTCTGGATGAAGAAAGCATGTATGAAGCCTCACTCAGAATTGAGCCTAAAGTGCCCAACTGATGGGGAAGGTGGCCCTCCATATTATTTTCTTTGTTAATATTACACATCAGTTAACATGCACATCAACATTTGTATAGCTGTACATGCTTAAGATCTTGCTCCTCTGTACAGTAGATGTTTAAAGTTGTTTGACAACATAAAACATTTTAGTGTATATTTTTCCGTGTATGATTTTTGTTGTTGCCATTTCCACAATGACACCTGCTTGAAGGATTTTTTTTAAAATCTCTATGAGTATTTCAAGAACAATAATAGAGGTCACTTTAGCTGCATGCAACCGTGTCTTCTACTGTGACCAATGACATTATTTTGCATCATGCCATACTGTATCAAATTTGCACTTCGAGCACTCGTGTTGCTGGCTGTTGTTCTCTTGGCTTGAGTTTTATTGATGACTGAAGTTCTCTGCAACCAATGTAGCATTGTAAAAAAAAACTAAAACAAAAAAATACTGCATAAAATCAGGTAAAAGAGCACAGAGAATTTATTTATTTATTAACCTTTATTTAACCAGGAAGAACCCATTGAGATTAAAAACCTCTTTTTCAAGAATATAATTAAAGATAGACAACAGTGATCAGTGCAACTGACAGCAAGGTATCCAAAGCATATGTGTCTCTGTGCTTCCCGAACCAAAACAAGAAGGATTTGTTTCTTCATTTCTGCTCACTATTCTAAAGACAGGGGTTCCCAACTGTGCTTACCACACTGAATGTTTTCCTACAGTGTAACTGTGGAGCAGTCCAGTATGTCCAACCAGATATGAAAGTGAATACAAGGTAAAGGTTCTTGTTGAAGTTATTGGCTGAATGAGAAAAATGAATACAGTCAACAGGAAGGTCAACTCTGTGAGCTAAATGCTAAAATTTGCATGCTATATTTGCGAAGTTAACTGAACAACAAGCTCACCACTGTAGCTTAGCTTGTTAGCATGCTCACATTTTCTAATTAGCACTAAACGTATATTGAAAGCTTACAGAAATGTTATTGGTTTTGCAAAAATCAGTCAAGTATTCACCAAAAATTGTAAATATTGTTCTAAAAGTTGGAAAGTAAATGGACCAGTTTATCCTCTGTTGTTGTTGAGACATTTTATTAACATCCACTGATGTAAATCACTAATGTAAGCTTTACCCTGTCGACATCATTGAAATCAGAAGCAAATGTGCTGAGATGTGCCAAAATATTTCAGGCTGAGCTGCGAAAAATCGCACTCTTGTTGCTAGAACCATCAGCTCAGTCTACATATTTATACTGATACATATAGCTGATACATATAGACCAAATGTGACAAATGGGACATGATGTGCAGACACAATCTGTACACACTTAATTACCTGTAGAGTTTTTTTCTTCTTCTTCTTTTTGTCAAGTAGTAAATGTTCTAAAGCTGGTAATGATAAACAATCCATAGGTTGGGAACCTCTTCTTTAAGTTAAGTTTAGCTATAGGATAATACAGTTTCTCAGTTGGCACACGAGGTGCCTAAAGTCTGCTGAGTTCACTTATAAGCTGTGTAACAACACAGAGTGTTAAAGAAGTGAGGTTTGTGAGGTTTAAGGTGATGGATTTGTCACCTGCATTTTTGCTACACTTAAAGTGCACCAGTACAGTTCAACGAGTTTCCCCCTTTATGCTTGAACTTTTTGGTCTTGACTTGTTAAATTGAAACTCATGGAAAAAAAAATCACACGCAGTGGTTAAGTGTTGTACCTTCAGGTTCGGGTTCTACTTCTGTAGAGTAAAAGTTTGTTGCTCTTCTGTAATCAAAAGACAATCTGTCCTTTTTGCTGTTCCAGTGATTGTGGAACATGACTGTATATCACTCTGTTATATGCATTGCTGTTAAAAACTATGATAAAATGTATGTGAATGACCTCTGCCTGCAGCATTCAAACACTATTTTTGTAGTAGTATAAGAGAGAGTGACCTGCTCTTTATATGAACATGGGAAAGTATTTTGTACTTTGTTGTTAATTCACTTCACTGAGATGCGCTGTACATTTTGTACATGCAACCTGGCATATTTCTCAATGTGGAACAGTGTAATCCTCTCAAAAACAACTTATATCACAAGCTTAACACAAAACAGTACAACAGTGTGGTCTTGAAACCATAACTTAGAGGTAGGAGAGTAATTCAAAGTGTTTTGCATTTATACTGTAATCCTGTCTATAACCATTTCTGTTAGCAGGAATATAGTAACGTAGTGCTTATTCTGTGAATATTTGTATGTATTTTTACTATGTATGTACAGTACACTTTTGAAGCTAATGTGGTAGGCATGCAACACCTTCACAGACAGAATAATACTATATACTTATACTGTATACACTTATAAATGCACATACTCTTATAAGGTATATAAACAAATAAACATTTTGCTGTAAGCAATACCCAATGGTATGAAAATTATCTTTCAACCCTCATGTTTCCACAGCTTAAGAAATATTCCCAGTTTTGTAAGGAAAAAAAAGATTAAAAGAAGATGAAGAACATAACAACAAACAAACAAAAATATGTTTCCCAGTTACCTCTTGATAATAAATTCATTTTATCTCAGGGGCATTTTGTCTCAAGTGTTTTTGTAGATCTTGTATCAGTTGACATGCTCATCTAATATGATGAAATAAAATACAGTCTGAAAGTTCTTAGCTTTATAAGCAGCTCTCTGTCCTAGGAAGCAACTGTGCTCAGCGGCCTACCGTGCTCCGGCAAAATCCGGAATTAATATGAAAAAAAAAATTTATGATCATAATTAGAATTTTCACAAATGCACAAACTAAACATGACATAAATTGTTTTCTGATTCAATAAATGTTAAAATCCAAGTTGTAATCACATCATAACTTTCATGAAACCTGGGACCAGCTTAATACCTGGTCTACTTCATTTACTAACATCACAAAAGACTTGGTAATAACGCAGGTCTGACTCTAGCAGTGAACTTGATGGCATATGTTTATCTTGTTTATTTGTTTGTTTATTTAGCGACATTCTTAAATGTAGACACATTAAAAAATATTCAAACACAGATTAAAAAGGAGGACGCTATTAAACATGTTTTATAGCAGGCTGATGCTATAAACTGGGGCTAAAATATTACTAACAGATTATATACGTTTATTTTCCTGCTGCTTTATACATTTAGTACATAATTTCCATTTCTTTAATGCCAAAATGTTACTTTAGCCACAGTTGAGACGCCGCTTATTTTATGTTTATTTTAACCATTTTGTACGAAGGCAGTTGTTGTGCATTGTGATGATTATTTATTGCAGTGCTCTCCATTTTTTAATAACTATAGCTTAAAGCAAAACGCAGTCCGTGAACCATCAAACATTTACCCGTAGATCGCAGAACAATAGCCACATGGTTGTAACAGCAGCTGTTCACCTCGTGACTCGCCTCATCTGTTTCACTTCACTTTCACACTCCTGCTGCAAATACTGGCACTTGGAACAGTCGACACAATGTTCGTTTTTCTTGTGCTCTTTGCGGCCTCTGTAACATCAGCTTTTCGCCTGTCTGATCAAGGTAAGTCGCTTTTTTTGTTAGGTAAAGTCCGCTTTACATTCTTATTCATTTAGTGCTTTTTTGCTTTGACATTTGCGCTACACCAGCTTTCGCTTTCATATTTACGGCCATGGCGTCTCTTCTATTGTTTCATGTTCTTTATCGGACACTTTTTAACATTTTTTTAACGTGGATTATTTACAGACGAGTTTCACTTCAAGTCATGGATGGCACAGGTAGGTTATAGCGCCGTGACATAAGCAAAAGATTGCGCTCAGTATGTTGTTATGAGGAAGTTGTCTGGTGAGAAAATCATAGTAACAACGTGGCTCAAGTGGGTACTGCATCAAACTTAAAAATAAATGTCTACACCCTTCCTCCATGTACAGTACAACAAAGGGTACAACTTGAAGGAGTACTACCAAAGACTGCAGATATTCACAGAGAACAAGAAGAGGATTGACAAACACAATGAAGGAAACCACTCGTTCACAAGTAAGACCTCTTTGTGTTTGCATTAACGTTTTGTTTCACGTGGCTCATCCTAAAGTGCTTTCACCTGCATTTCCTCTCTTCCTGCAGTGGCACTGAACCAGTTTTCAGACATGACATTCAGTGAATTTCGAAAATCCTTCCTCATGTCTGAGCCTCAGGTAATGATGCTCATACAAGAAGCATTTTGCAATGATGATTAAGCTGTTGTTGGGGTTTTTTTGACAAGTTGATTTTTGCAGAACTGCTCCGCCACCAAAGGGAACTACTTCAGCAGCAATGGGCCGCTACCAGACTCCATCGACTGGAGAAAGAAAGGGAATTATGTGACCCCAGTGAAGAATCAGGTGAGTCTGAACCTCAGACATCCACATGCATGGTTGCTCAGTCAGACAGTAGATTTAAAAAAAAAAACATTATAGTAATAGTAAAATAAAATGTTTATAATTAAAAAGGAAAGCCTTTAAGGGGATGCAGTTTCCCCACAATGCAGTGAAAAATGTTACTGTTGCATGTCGAGAACAGGTTAACTAAACTTACTTGCTGAGTGGCATTGCAAAAACTGTTTGCCCTTAAATAGTTTATCCAGTGTTCCTCCAAACAAAACATGTCAACAGGTCTGCTGTAAGAAAAAGGCCCAGTGTTAAGTTGAGTTTTTTAGTATTTCTTTCAGTGCATAAAATCTTTCCTAAAATCTTTGTGTGTGTGTGTGTGTGTGTGTGTGTGTGTGTGTGTGTGTGTGTGTGTGTGTGTGTGTGTGTGTGTGTGTGTTTACGGCAAAGGGAGGCTGTGGTAGTTGCTGGACGTTTTCCACCACTGGCTGTTTGGAGTCTGTAACTGCCATCAACAAGGGGAAGCTTTTACCGCTGGTGACTTGTTTTTTATTAGCTGATTACGTATCAAAAATTGCACTTCATGACAAAGCATAATGACTAACTTTACTGCCTATTGCGTTAACTAGTCAGAACAACAGCTGGTAGACTGCGCTCAAGATTTCAACAACCATGGATGCAATGGGCGAGTCAAACATTTCCTACCTTCCCCTTTAAAAGAAAATTACGTGTAATTACGGTACTCACTCGTTTAATAACATATTAATTTGTCTTTCAGTGGTCTTCCCAGTCAAGCATTTGAATACATCATGTACAACAAGGGACTGATGACCGAGCAGGACTATCCATACACGGCTTTTGTAACTATCAACTAAAAAAAAGAAGCATTAAACAAAAGAGACTTTTCAGTTACAAACAGTTGTGTTTTATGGCTTAATTTATTTTAACTGTGTCTTTTTGTCATTTTAGGAGGGTAAGTGTGTGTACAAACCAGAAAGGGCAGCTGCTTTTGTGAATAGTGTGGTGAACATAACAGCAGTGAGTATCCATCAGGGATTTTCATTAAGGAAAAGTCTTTAGTGAAGCGAGTGAATGATGACGTTTTTCTGCCGTCTGTCAGTACAATGAGATGGAGTTGGTGGACGCTGTCGGGACACACAATCCTGTCAGCTTTGCTTTTGAGGTGACCTCTGACTTTATGAGTTACCACCAGGGTGTGTACACCAGGTAAGAAGATGTCATAATTTCAATTTTGTCTTTTTTTCACATTTATTAAAACATACTAAGTGTTTATATGATCACTATATTTGCTATAACCAAATGTAAGCAGATTCCTGCATGTTTGCTCCCATCATCCCTGCAGTGTCCATGAAATGAATGGGGCAGACCTTTACTTGAACCTACTGATCAAGTCTATTATTCTTTTGATGCTCACATAAACACACATGGTCAAAACCTGTTTTTCATTTGGACAGCAAGTTTACCACAACCACTGCTGCTAAAATAAGAACTGAGAAAAGAGGGTTTCGAGTATTTCATTCAGTTTAAAATGTCAGTAAAGCTGTTACTTTCAGACATTTGAGAGGTTTAGTTCCTCTTTCTGAATAAAAGATATAGCGTCAGAATAAACATGTTCTGCTTTCAGCACTGAATGCCACAACACCACCGACAAAGTGAACCATGCAGTTCTGGCTGTCGGCTATGGACAAGAAAATGGTACTCCTCACTGGATAGTAAAGAACTCATGGGGATCGAGTTGGGGCATGAACGGGTAATTTTCTAATCAGTCACATGTAGAAAAATTTCCCTAAATATTATGAACCAAAGAAACAGAGTAACAGTTTTGTCCTCTCACAGGTATTTCCTCATTGAACGTGGGAAGAACATGTGTGGACTTGCTGCCTGCGCATCATTCCCAGTGGTGTGATTATTACATGTTTGCACATTACAAAAGGGCCGACAATGAAGCCAGTTCCTTTTTATATTGTTTGTATAGAGTTTGTTTTAAAATCAGCTGCCTGTGCATCTACAGATGTGTTGTTTTTCCAAAAAGGGAAGAAGTCTTAACCCCCATTCAAGCACTATGACAGAAAGATCCAGGTCACTACACTATGAAATAAATGTAACTGAAATTATCACTTCATTGAAAATCATTCAAACTGTTCTGATAAAATTTGCAAATAAACTCTATTAAATATGTCGAGTTGTTATTCACAATGCACTGCAGTAAAAAGTCACAGAAAACAAAGAGACACAAATGTTACACCCCTCTGTGACAATTTTATTGTAAATATTTAAAAAAAAATCGGAGATTCTATCCATTGGTTTAATTAGACCATTGTGACAGGAATGTTGCAGGGTATGAAGGGCATTATCAGCAGTGTTGGGTAAGTTACTTTAAAATAGTAACTTAGTTACATTACTAGTTACTTCTCTCAAAAGTAACTCCGTTACTTCAAGTTACTCGTTACTTTCAAAGTAACTAGTTACTAGGGAAAGTAACTTCGGTTTTACTCAGAATTCTCTTGTTAATGTGTTTCTTCCATAACTTTGCCAATCTTCTAGCTTGCTTACTTGCCACAAGTGCACTGTGCCACCTACCAATAGAAAGGAAAAGATAATGTGCATATTCCCACGAGAGAAATTCCACGCCTGGACCGTCATTGACTGCTGCCATGATTCTAGCCTACGTCACAGAGTCATGTGCGCCTTTTACATCCAACACAAAAACTGCAGTCGTGGTGCTTTCGATTGTACTCAGAACT